ACTTAGCCAGGAAGTGACAGGACCAGAATTTGAACCCAGGCTCTAGAGCCGTGCTTTTCAGAACTGTCCCTGAGCTGTCATCATGCTGTGTTACAAGCACTGATGTCATTCATGGTCACCCGTCTTGACTGTGAGCTCCTTGAGGACAAGGACTGATCTTGCCCAGTAACTAGAACATTGTATGACCTCAAGAGTGAATAATTGAATGTAATGAGGCACAGAATAAAAAATGAATTATACCTGGTGCTTTATTTCAAGGGACTCACAGTCTCTCTCTCTTTTTTTTTTTTATAAGTTTATTTATTTTTGGCTGTGTTGGGTCTTCATTGCTGCACGTGGGCTTTCTCTAGTCGCGGCGAGCGGGGGCTACTCTTCGTTGTAATGTGCGGGCTTCTCATTGCAGTGGCTTGTCTTTGTTGCGGAGCACAGGCTTTAGGCGCGTAGGCTTCAGTAGATGTAGCACACGGGCTCAGTAGTTGTGGCTCGTGGGCTCTAGAGCACAGGCTCAGTAGTTGTGGTGCACCGGCTTAGTTGCTCTGCAGCATGTGGGATCTTCCCAGACCAGGGCTGAAACCCATGTCCCATGCATTGGCAGGTGGATGCTTAACCACTGTGCCACCAGGGAAGTCCAAGACTCACAGTCTCTTTTTCTCCTTTTTTTCCCTCCTTCCTTCCCCAAATGATTGCAGGGCCTTTTAAACAACCTGAGAAATAGGTATTATTATTCCAACTTTACAAGTAAGAAAAATGAGGCCCAGAGAAGTTAAGTATCATGGCCAAGGTCATAGCTGGGAACAGGCACAGTCAGGATTCAGACCGTAGTGGCCTGGCTCCAGACTCATGCTCTTAACTTCTATAATATGTATGTCTCCAGTAGCTTCAGTGGGCAGAAAAGACACATAAACGTATGCAAAACAAGAGACAGGTAGAGAAGCTTAGGCAGCAAGGGAGGGAGAGGGACCCAGACAAACAGTTTGGAGCAGCTGGCAGTGTGGCTGGCTGAAGAGCAGGCCGAAGTAGGCAGGGCAGGGGATGCATTAAAAACAAAACGCTGTGGGAATCTCAATCAGCACCACAGGGGCTCTGGGCTCCCTCACAGCCACCTGTTCCCTGCTGGGTAAAAGGGGCTCTGACGGGTGTTCTGGCCAGGAAGTTTCCTGGTGTGTGTGTGGGCATCTTGGGTGACCTCGGGGTGGCCAGAGCAGCCCCTCACCCTCCAGCTCTCCATTTTCTTGTCCCAGCTCTCCACTTGCCAGCGGCCTAGTTCTATGAATCACAAGATCTCGTGAGTCACTCGTTCCCTCTCTGAGGAATAAATAATGTCAAATCTCAGAAAAGCCGAGCAGTCCAGTTTACAGGAGGCGTCACGCAAAGACTGAGCCTGGGTCCTGCTTTCCTTTGGGAACTGGCACCGCTGTCAAGAGAAGCGTGTTGCCAGGCTCTCAGCTTGAGCTTTTGGGCCATCGACCAAGAGCCCTGGCTGCTTTGGCTGCGTCTAGATTTGATGCTGAGACTGCCAGACTCAGCAAGAGGCAAAGTCAGCCCCAAGGAGCATAATTTTGGCCCAAATGGGGAAAATCTGAAATATGAAGATGAGTGTACATCAATTTGGTTGTGTCTCCAGTGTTCCTGAGACAGGCCTCTCCTTTATTTCTCTCATGAATGCCCATGATAGACATCCTGAAAGTTAATTTAGTACTTTCATATTCCGGAGCTGCTTCCCATAGCCTGTAACATGCAAAGCCCTTTGAAGGCAAAACCCAGAAGTCTCCTGCTGTAGCAGAGAGAATATGTGAGCAGGCAGTGGCCAGTAATATCTCGGGGCAAGTATTTTGACCTCACTCCAAGGGTGCGTTGTCATCTTTGTGAACTGGTGTCTGATCCAAGCCTCTCCCTAGAAGAGCCTCCCCACCTGGCTAGAGTCGGGGTAGGAGAAAAGCAATTTGATTTTATGGTGAAAAAATACTCACAACAGGGTGTAAATACAAGAATAGACTTTGCTCCTTGCAGGACATAAGTCTATTTAAAAAAAAATAGACGTTCCTTTTTAGAGCAGTTTTAGGTTCACAGCAAAATGGAAAGGAAGGTACAGAGATTTCCCATATCGCCCCGCCCCTGCTCATGCACAGCTTCCCTGTTATCAACCTCTCCCAGCAGAATGGTGCATTGGTTATAACTGATGAACCCATGTTGACACATCATTATCATCCCAGAGTTCATTACAGTTCGCTCTTGGTGTTGTAGAGCCTAGGAATTTAGGGCATGGACTCTGGAGCCAGATTGTCTGAGTTCCAGTGATAGCCCCACTGTACGTCTATAGTCTATAGTTATATAAATAATGGCTTGGAACAGTGCCTGGCCCCTAAGTGAGGCATGCAGTTTAAGTGTTGATATCCTCCAGAAAAACCCTCCTTAGCCTCTGGTACAGGGATCTCTCCTGTGTGCTATATTTTAATGACCTCTTTATTTGAGATACCTGGAGGCAGGGACTGTCTTTCTCACCTTCATGTCTGTGGCTAGAAAACCACCTCGAGAGATTAATTTCTGTTTCATACTCATTCAGCAGCCTGAACAAATAGCAGGACTTCCCCATTGCGAGAAACTCCTCGAGGGTGGCCTTACCTCCAGGATCGTTGATGTCTTTTGAATCAGAGGTATAAAGGGAGAGATCATAAATAAAGCACGAGGGCTTCCCTGGTGGTGCAGTGGTTGAGAGTCCGCCTGCCGATGCAGGGGACACGGGTTCGTGCCCCGGTCCGGGAAGATCCCACATGCCGCGGAGCGGCTGGGCCCGTGAGCCGTGGCCCCTGAGCCTGCGCGTCCGGAGCCTGTGCTCCGCAACGGGAGAGGCCACAACAGTGAGAGGCCCGCGTACCGCAATAAAAATAAAAATAAAAAAATAAATAAAGCATGAAACAGGGATCCAGAACATCACTCCTCCATAGAATTTTGTTGCAGGAAAAAAGCCCCAGCTGGGAGAGGAAGGAGTAGACTGATCCTAGAGGGAAGATTTTGGGCTTTTTGAGAGACTGGAGAGGGAACAGGGGTGTGCAGGACCTGGAGTAGCAGAGACCAGCGCTTCTCTCCCTCCCGTAGTGTGCCCTGAGAAATGAGGTTCACTAAACACTTAGTTTACCTGCCTTCAAAAGTTCTGGTGTTGGGTTGGGACCACCACTTTCAAGGGACCATGTGGATTTTGACATTGAACATCTCGACAGTGGCCAGAGCGGATCAGAGGGCCTTCTAAAATGCTCTGGACTGTGCCGGAGCCCCAGAGCCTCTCTCTTGACTCTAGGAGAACGGTTACCTCCCCACTCTGCCCCCATCAAATTCACGAGATTGAATTTTCCTGAGTGGATAGACTCTGAACAAATGCATCTATTTAGAGACACAAGAACATGTCTCTTTTTGAACCCTGGTGAAATGAGCTAAAATTCACTATAATGAATGAATGTGTCCTGTAATGTGTCTATGGTTCTGGCCAAAGTAGGCCTGAGAATATTTGGTGAGTGGATCAATGCAGGAAGCATCTTGAAATGGATCCAGTCTATTTTAATAATACTATAGAAACAGCACTTTTTGTTTACCTACCTTGAATAAAGGTTTTCCAGGGCAATTTCCTGAGCATTTAAAGCACATTCAAATGAGTTGTCTTTGAACAAAGATTCAAAAGACTTTCGTGACTGCAAGTTAGCAACAAGTTGAGTTTACAACTCACCAGTCTTACATTGTTGGTTGCCCAGGAAACTAACCTGGCTGCTTTACATTTTGACCCTGGAAAAATTGGAGTCTCCAGTCAGAATTTGTATCACAAAGCCCCACCTAATATGATAAAGCTTATTAGGCAAAAAACAAAAATCCTATTTTGTATATTGGCCTCTATTTCACAAAGCTGCCTTGTACCTACAATTTCTAGTCTTTGTTCAGAATGAAAGTTGTTTAGACTATTGTACTCTCGATTACTTGTAGTCATTCATCCAGGAATTACTCAAATGGGTTAAGTCTAGAGATAATCCAAAACATGTTCCTTCAGTCCTTAGTGCCTTCTCATTTCCCTCTTCAGTCTTCAGAGACTTCCTTTCTAGGTTCCTCTAACAGCCTACAGACTTGATTTATTTTCTTGCCCTTCTAAGTATCAGAAGAGTATCTAAAAGACAGAAAATAAATGGAAAAGTAGGAACAGGCTAAACACTACGAAAAAGCATTCAGGCAAATCTTGAAAGGTGAGACATTCCAGTGGACAACTGTCTTGGGCTCTCAGCAAATCAACACCATAAAAACAGAGGCTGGGGACTTCCCTGGTGGTCCAGTGGTTAAGACTCTGCGTTCCCAGTGCAGGGGACCTGGGTTTGATCCCTGGTCAGGGAACTGGATCCGGCATGCCACAACTAAAAAAAAAAAAAAAAACAAAAAAACTAGAGGATGTTATAGAGGAAAAGAAATTTAAAGGACACAACCACCAGTGCAACATGTGGTCCTAGAATAGGTCTTAGTTTGAACAGTTTTTGTTTGTTTGTTTTAGTTTGAACAGTTTTGAACAGCTACAGAATCAATTGAGGGAACAATTATGGAAATTGGAATATGGCTTGGGTCATAAATGATATTAAAACTCATTAAGATGATTAATATTGTGGCTTGTTGGGCGTAATAAATATTTATTTTAGTTACATAGGATGTCCTTATATTTGTGAGTTGTATACTGAAGAATTTAGGGGTGAAATGTCATGAAGTCCAGCATAAAAAGAAGTAATGTGAGTATAAAAGAATAAAATCTGGAAGAACTGAATTATATCTCATAATAGATCCTCCTTACTTGACCCAATTAACTTGAAAGTCTGCTTTACTACATGAGTACAGATACGGTACATGTGTACCTAGGTAGGGAAAGTGCATGGAATCTGGGGTATGTTTTGCCATTTAGTAACTGTAATCTTGGGTGCTGCTCTCTGTGCCTGTTTCCCCAGCTGTAATATAGGTATAGTATTAGTGAACCTACTGCATAGGGTAATTGTGAGGTTAAATGAGTTAATATACATATGCTCATTAAAACAGTTCCTGGCACAAAGTAATTGCTAAATAAGTATTAGCCCTTATTATTCTTGTTATTGTTTTTGTTTTAAGGAGTATGATCCTAGAAGATGCTGGGTTGGCAAAAACTGATACAATCAGCACAGCTTCTTGGATTTTCTGGTATGTTATTAGTAGCCATGGGAGTCCCATATTCCTAGGGACCCATCTTTGAGTTCTTCCTTACAGTACATTGAAATGTTCCAACCAATGTTTTAGGGGCTGGGGAACAGTGGTGAGGCCTAAAAACATTTTTTCTCGTTGGTTATAATGGGGCTTCCGGGTTAGTATCCTATTAAAACTCCAAAGGTTTTTTGCACAGCAAAGGAAACCATAAACAAGACAAAAAGACAACCCTCAGAATGGGAGAAAATATTTGCAAGTGAAATAACTGACAAGGATTAATCTCCAAAATACACAAACAGCTCATGCAGCTCAATATCAAAAATAACAAACAACCCAATCCAAAAATGGGCAGAAGACCTAAGTAGACATTTCTCCAAAGAAGACATACAGATGGCTAACAAACACATGAAAGGATGCTCAACATCACTAATCATTAGAGAAATGCAAATCAAAGCTACAATGAGGTATCACCTCACACCAGTCAGAATGGCCATCATCAAAAAATCTACAAATAATAAGTGCTGGAGAGGGTGTGGAGAAAAGGGAACCCTCTTGCACTGTTGGTGGAAATGTAAATTGATACAGCCACTATGGAGAACAATATGGTGGTTCCTTAAAAAACTAAAAATAGAATTACCATATGACCCTGCAATCCCACTACTGGGCATATACCTAGAGAAAAACCATAATTCAAAAAGACACATTCACCCCAACATTCATTGCAGCCCTATTTACAGTAGCCAGGACATGGAAGCAACCTAAATGCCCATCAACAGAGGAATGGATAAAGAAGATGTGGTACATATATGCAATGGAATACTACTCAGCCATAAAAAGGAATGAAATTGGGTCATTTGTAGAGACATGGATGGACCTGGAGACTGTCATACAGAGTGAAGTAGTCAGAAAGAGACAAACAAATACCGTACGCTAACACATATATGTGGAATCTGAAAAAATTGGTATAGATGATCTTATTTACAAAGCAGAAATAGAGACAAAGACATAGAGAACAAACGTATGGATACCAAGGAGGAAAGGGGGGTGGGGTGGGATGAATTGGGAGATTAGGATTGACATATATACACTACTGTTACTATGTATAAAATAGATAACTAATGAGAACCTACTGTATAGCACAGGGAACTCTACTCCATGCTCCGTGGTGACCTATAAGAGAAGGAAATCCAAAAAAGAGGGGATATATGTATACATATAGCTGATTCACTTTGCTGTACAGTATAAGCTAACACAGTATTGTAAAGCAACTATACTCCAATAAAAAAAATTGTTCTGATTCTTTAATTAAAAAAACCCAAAGTTTTAAGTGTAATTAAATAATAGGTAAGTGAAGCTACTACTAGACCTGGAATCTTCTAATAGGAATATTTAACTTCATTAGGAATGTTAGAACTAGAATTCATCTTTCCCATTAAAAAAATTAGTGAAAACAAAATGTGATGATTAATTTTATGTGTCAACTTGACTAGCCGTGGATGCCCAAACTAAACATTTCTGAGTGTGATCCAGGACATTTCTGGATGAGATTAGCATTTGAATCAGTGGACTTAGTAAATTGTCCTCCCCAGTGTGGGTGGGCATCATCCAATCTGTTGAGGGCCTGAACAGAACAAAAAGGGGGAGGAGGGAGTAATTTGCTTTGTTTTTCCCTGACTCACTGACTGAGCTGGGACTCATCTTTCTCTCTGGCCCTTGGCTTGAAATTTACACCATTAGCTCCTCTGCTTCTCAGGCCCTTGATCCAGCTTTCCTGTGTCTCCAGCCTGCATGTGGCAGATCCTGGGTCTTCTCTACTTTGATAATCACATGAGCCAATTCCTCATAGTCTCTTTAGATAGATAGATAGATAGATAGGAAGATAGATACATGGATTTCTCCAGAGAAATAGAACCAGTAGGAGATTATCTATCTATCTATCTATCTACCATATCTAATCTATCTATCATCTATCAGTGTATCTATCTATATGTATCTATACCTGACTATCACACAATATAAGATGCCTTTATAAATATATCCCTTCAAGCAAATCTGACACATGATGATTTAGGATCCTAGGATCTGTTGATCCCTGTCATTAACAGAATAGAAAGACAGTAACTATAATTTGGTAACTATATTTTCAGGTTTTCAGTTTAGGTAAATGCTGTCCCTTGATAAACACTCTAAATGGCTTTAGTTTTCAGTGTTTCATGTCAATTTTGATCTTTAGTATAGCTTAATAACTTCTTTTCTGTATCTTTCTTCTAATATAAACACAGAGAGCTTTTGAACTTTAGACACTGCGATGTGTCACAACAGCACATTTGTCTTAGATTCTAGAGTAAACTGAAATCTCAAGATTAAATGAGCATGTATCAGAGAAAATTCTAAATGGCTAGGTTAAAGTTTACAGTTATGGAAAATTAGGGAAATCATTCATCTTGTAAGGTCTGCACTATCAAACTGACAGTCTCAGAAGTGAGAACAATGTTATGATGTTACCACATCATAATTTCATAAAAGCAAAACTTTATTTAAATATACATATAAATAATTTTGAAATGACCTCACATTGAATGACAAATACTTTGTTAAGGTACTTTACACGAGAAGTCTCACGTAAAGAGACTTCTCACAACACTCAGGGTTCTTTCATGCCTCTGTCTCCCTTGAGGTAACTGATATGCTGACAGGTTAAAAACTGGCCCAAGATCACATTGGCAGCGGTGATAAAGGCAAGATTGAAATTTAGAATCAGTGATTTATTCTTCATCCAACCAATATTTATTGAGTGCTTACTAGGTGTCACGCCCAGTTCTCGTTTCTGGGGATACTGAGGCGAATAAAACATCAAAATCCCTGCTGTGAGAATTGGGAACACAGTTGAGTCTAGCAGTTAGAATTGATAACTACTTCTTCCAAGGTTAGGTAGCATTCTAGCCTGGTTTTTATAAGTTTAGCCCTATAGGATAATTTGTTTTTGCTGATGGAAAAAGGTCCCAAAACTCACCTTAAGTCTACAAAGAGTGGAAGTCTGGAATAAAGCTAAACTCTTCCAGAAAAACAAACAAACAAAAACCAAAATAAAAAAACTCTCCTTGAAGTAGCTACTTCCTTAAAATATAAACCAACTAACCAACACACACATGCACACACAAGTTCCTCTATATCTTTGCAAATCATCATCCATGCTGGACAAACTTTATGAGCCTGGGGAAATACCCTTTACAATGCATGATTGCCTGGCCAGTGGACTATTTTTCTCTGTTACAGATATCTGGTTGCAACAATTTTCATGTGATCCAACAAAAAAAGACACCACAGTGCATTTCCATAATACAGTGACCTGAATTTGCTGGGAGAGACTGTAGTCCATCAGGTAAGGCTTTTACCCCCTTAGCAACCAGATTGCCTCTGTGCTGCAAAATATAACAACCTCTGCAGTAGCCTGACCTACTTGCGGAGCCCAAAGTGCATAGAGAAGCACCTGTATCTCCGAACATCACGGCCCATACGCACATCTAACCCATAGCTCATGGTTCAAGGTTGCTGCTTGTTATGTTACACTGACAAGTAGTCTCAATAAGAAATTTTAAAACGGTGACATTCCCCATAGATAGTTTCTGTACCCATCTAAACTTTCTATAATTTAAAATACAGCACAAGCTTTTCATATGGAAAAGCATTGGGATAGACAAATAATTGGATGCCTTCAGCAATAATCATGAATATATAAAATTTTAAAATCATCATTATTACTATACTATATACTTACAATGATTAATACATTCTTTATTTCTATTTTCACACACTATGATTTATGACTTTTATATTTGAGTCCTGTTTTACAGCATTAATATATATTAATATACATATTATAATACATATTATATTAAAGGAAGAATCTTGAAATAACATTTCCCTCTCCTCCAGGTCTCTGAGATAGCACTCATTTCTTTTACCATTTGTTGAGAAAAAGCTTATATGATTCATAGTAATGTTGGACTTTTAAACAACAATGCCCAGGAGGTTTGAGCTGTGCATAAATAATTTAAAACAGACATCATTAGAATACTGGAGTTTATATTCATATTAAAAAACTACCTAGTTCTCTTGAATTTTATGGAAGTAAAACGCGAAGTCTTCCTGAACAGTCTTAGGTAAACACAGCACCATGGACAGGGATAGATGGGAAATTTCAGTGCGGGGTGTCATGAAAGGAACAGTGAGAGTTGATGAGGCCCTCATCTTACATCATTTAGTGAAACTGATTGCTGTCTTCTCCTTGAACAGCTCATCTTCTTACTGCCACCTCATAATCTTGACTGTGAAATAGACTTGTATATTATGTTTTTGTATCTTATTATTGGTGGAGGTTTTCCCTTTCCTCTCCTTTTTGGCACTAGGAACAATTTGATGACAAGCTGAAACACAGGCCATTGGATAAAGGCTTTGGACTGAGAAGAAAGAGAACAGGGGGTCCGAGTTCTGGCTCTGAATGACCTGCATACCTTTTTGTAATAGGACAAAATATCCCACATTCTGGACCTCAGTTTCATTACCTGTAAAAAGGAGAGCAGTAGACCAGATGATCTTTGAAGTTTTACTTTCGGCTGCAAAATTCTGTGATTTAAATCTGGTTTTAGCTATGGTAACTATGAAGCAACATGATAGCTGTAAGAGGCTAATGATTACATATTCTGTAACACCAAATTGAAAAAGCAAAAATATAATTGAAATTCCTTCAAGAGTCATCCAATTGCTCATGGGGCAGTGCCGTGGCAAGTATTATATTATTCCCCACTTTTAATGTTTCCTTTCATTGAAGGGATATCCATCATGCAACACTCCTGGCATCTCTCTGCACTATCACTCACTCTTTTCTTGGGGAGATACAGTGATTTGTCTAGATACAGCAGGTGAGTTTAGAAGGAGAATCAGGACAGGGTCGCTAGCCCTTCCCCTGGAATCCCCTTGGGAGCTGGTGTCCCTGCAGAGAATGTGTGTCCTGCTCTGTTCCTTCATGCTATCAGTTAATAGGGCCAAGGCCCTACCTGGGGAGCTCTGTAGTCACCGTGGGTAAAGTTGTCTAGTTCTGGGGTCTAGTGTTAGGAAAACATTTGGTTCTTAAGTCCAAGCCACATTCTGCAATATCCGCTTTCTTAGTAGCAAACACGATATTTTGATTTCCTTGTGTCGTATTTTTGGGGTCTATTTCTAAAGTAGTTCGGAACTTGGATGACATGCTATTTTGGGGGTTCCCTGAAGTCTCAATGAGCAGCACTAGATTGTAATCACAGATGACTTTGGCCATGAACTTTCCACTTAGATGCATGCAGGTCTTCTCCCAGCCTTGAATGTTTCTGGTAAGGTCTCAACATCATCACTGCGAATTCTGGCCTTTGGTATGCCAGAGATCATCTCAGCCAACAATTACACAGCTGCATGGCACCCACGGTTCTAAAATGGAAGCCAAATATTTAAACGATCACCATGTGCCTTAAATATATTGCATCCAACTTGTTACAGAGCTGAATCAGGATGGGAAGGAAGAAGCATTTATTACATGATGTGGCTGTTGGCTGAAATTTGAATAATTGATCTACCCTTATTACAATTTGTTTTCCCCCTGAATCCAGAAAGAAGAACAGCTTGAAGTCACAGAAACTATGTAGTTTAATACATATTTGAGGGCCTGGTATAATGCCTGGACTTCTTTAGGTACTAGGGGATACAGCAGTGGACTAAATGCACAAAAATTCATATCCTCAAGGAACTTGTATTTTAGTGGGAGGAGACACAATAACCAAAGTAAACAAGCAAATAAAGGAAATAAATAATGTAAATAAATGCAGTATAGTGGTACAGTGTCTGGAGTCAAACAGCCTGGGGTCAGGGCTCTATCACTTATAAGCCATATGACTTTAACCTCTATGTACCTCAGTTTCCTCATCTGTAAAATGGGGTTAATAAAACTTGGGAAGGTTTATCATGAACCAATGCCCAGGGTTCTAGGAACTGCAAGAGGGCTATGTAACTGAAGAGCAGAATGCAATAGAGAGGGGTCGTGGATTGGGACTCCTTAGAAAAAGAGCCTAAGACAGGAATTCAGGTGCCTATGGTTTATCGAGGATGTGCTCTCAGGAAAAAGGGAGAGAGAAAACCAGAAGAGAGCAGATGAAGGAGTTAAGCAAGGATGAGGCCTCAGCTGGTGCAGACTGGCCCATGGGGAGCTCTGGAGCATGAACTGCACTGCAGATTGTGTCCCCCGCTTGAGACCAGCGGGCTGGCCTTTTGTACCCCGAAATCGGTGAGTCACTGGCAGTGGGCTGCCAGGGGAGATAGTTCTTAGTCCCTTTGTGCTGCTATTACAAGAACCACAGACTGTGTAGCTTATAAACAACAGAAATTTATTTGTCACAGTTGTGGAGGCTGGAAGTCTGAGATCAAAATACCAGCATGGGGCTTCCCTGGTGGCACAGTGGTTGAGAGTCCGCCTGCCGATGCAGGGGACACGGGTTCGTGCCACGGTCCGGGAAGATCCCACATGCCGCGGAGCGGCTGGGCCCGTGAGCCATGGCCGCTGAGCCTGTGCGTCCGGAGCCTGTGCTCCGCAGTGGGAGAGGCCGCAACAGTGAGAGGCCCGCGTAACGCAAAACAAAACAAAACAAAATACCAGCATGATGGGGTGAGGGCCCTCTTCTGGGTTGTAGACTTCTTCTTGTATTGTCATGGGGTGAAAGGGGCTAGGGAGCTCTGTGGGGTTTCTTTTATAAGGGCACTAATCCCATTCATGTGGGCTCCAACCTTTTGACCTAATCACTTCTCAAAGGGCCCACCATTGCCTTGTGGGTTAGGATCTCAGCATATGAAGTTTGGGGGGAGGGAGTGGACACAAATATTCAGACCATAGCACTAGGCTAAAATCAAGGTGTCAGCAGAGCTGCATTCCTTTCTGGAGGCTCTAGGCAAATGCTGAGAAGAAAAGCTGCAGGGGGCACCTAGCTGCCTCACCTCCACATCCTCAGTGATTCAGGTCTGGCTCCAAACCAGCACATCCCACACACAAAGCAACAGCCTTGTGGGGAGCCAGCCTCACATCCTCAGAGGCAGTATAAGGTAGCCACAAGAGAAGTGTGCTATTTAAGAATCAGGAATGAAGCAGCAACCATCTGAAAGTTGGTAGAGGCGGTTAGGGGCAGTCACTGAGGTGCTGGTGGGTTCCGCTTTGCTCTTGTTTTTCCCACTCCAAGTCCAGCTCTTCGTCCCAAATGCTGGCCCTACTGACCAGCAGTGATCCGAGACCTGCCAGGAAATGTTTTGCTGTGACCTAACAGAGGTAGAAGCCACAAAGGGCCGACAGCCTTCCGGAGACCTCTCTACCAGTCTCTCCCGCCATTGATTTCCACTTAGCATCCAACTTGTCCACCTGCACCAGGTACTTTTCTCTGGTACTTTTTGGACCCGCTCTTCCTCAGATCCTGCCACAATTGTGTGAGGTCTAACTCCGTAATCAATAATCTACCCCATAATACTCACAGTGGTCTTACTTCTCTGATTGAACTTTACTGGTACAGGAGGGAAACATAATTAACTTCATCTTATTACATCTTCAGGGATATTGTATCATTCCTTATAAATTGCCACACCAGACACCTTTCCGGCTGGCTGTCCTTGAATATAATGAATGCATATCAATATAATCAATGTGACACTATATTATGTCCTCAAATATCTGATAGGGTAGGCACAAAAGAACTCTTTTCAGGAGAATCTTAAACAATATAGAGATCTTTGTCAGTGAGACAAACAGAAACTGGGGGCTAGAGAGACAGCAGAAAAATAAATGACCTGCCCTTGTATCTTGCAGAAAACTGAAAATCTTCTCCCATCTCCAGGGCTGTTACCTCCTGGTTTCTCCTCCGCATTCTTGTCTTGAGTCTTTCGCCTTCATCACACAGCAAGATGCTGAAGAGAGGCCAGAACGACTTAATTCAGTCATGAAATTGCTAAATTTATTCATTCGTAATCTCATGATGTAATGGGAAGTGAGTCGGCCTGAGGCTCAGAGGATCTGGTTTCTGGTCCTAATTGCCAAGAACCCTCTGTGGAATTAGGGGAAAGGCATCCAGCCTCTCTGGGCTTCCGTATCTTTGTAACGTGTTTTATAATAGCTAATTGAATGGATTATGGACCTTCTGCTACATACCTAAATTCATGGCTCTTGTAAAAGTCTTTCTAGAAACCTGCATTTTAGTTATTTATATTAGAGTTCACAAAGTATGGAGCATGCCTCCCAGAAGTGGTATAATAATAAATACACGAATTGACACGGTGCCCTCACTTGATCCCAAGGTCAGATGGTCTTGTGTCATGGTGGGATCACACACATGGAGCCATCCTGAGGAAAGAGTGGCCATTCCAGAACACAGCGGAGTTGATGGAGGTTTTCTCACTCTTTTATTTGTTTTCGGCACAGTATGACATATTTATGTATGCCCAGGTGTATTATCACAACTGTTTTTAGATAATATTCACTAGTTTTAGTTCAATTAACTCTCATAAAATAGACACATGACTTAAAAAGATTTCCTGCAAAGGAACCATGGACTGAAGTGTCAACAAGAACATGAACAAATGAACAACGAGCAAACAAACAACAAAAATGACAAAGCAGACACTTTTACTCCTAGAATGAACTCCTTCTTATTCACATGAAAAGGTAAAAATGAGGATCAAATCAGATCTGAAACAAACTCTAACAAAAATATTCAAAATTATCAAGAAGATGGTTTAAAATTTGAATTTACAATCTGTTGATTCATGTCTACTATCATTAATGAGGAACCTCTACGAAAGGGCTTGTAGTGTCTTGAAATATTAACTAATGTAGTAGAATGCCATATGATTAGCAACGCTTTTAAAAATAGTAGTTATTTCATCTTGATATCTTTTCATTTTCTTTTTTGTACATTTGTTATAATGGTCGTAACACCTGGGCAGGTATACATATTGGAAGCATATACTAAAAATATTTTATGGATTAGAGGGATGTGACAGCAGAAAGCTGCAGACCACTGATTTGGGCTGAAACTGACATGTCCACCTGTCCATCTGACTTATGAAGAAGAGGCGTGGTGGGGGGCAGCCTTGATTCTGCACTTCAGTATGGTAAGATGCTTACCACTCTACTTTTTATGACCTATGACATAATTACAGGAGTTAAGGTAAGGATTATACTTTAGGTATTCACACGAATGTTTTCATTTTAATTGTCAGGACCCCACCTTCCCACCCCTAACTTCTAGGAAGAACAGGACTAGGTTTAATAATCTGTCAATGAGTTGCTCATTTTCTCTCTTAACTATCACCTGGTTCAACATCTAAGTAAATTAACATCGCTACCCTGTTAGCTTTGGGGAACAAAGGGAATCTGTGAAGATTTTTCAGGTTCAGGAAAGAATCTTGTTAGGGTGTTGAATATGTGCAATATTTATTTTTAGGTCTAGTTTACGGATCTAAAGTTACTTTTGCTCAGGAACAACAACTAACACCCCCCCCGGTTGCTCATAGATTGTTTATGGTACACTATTTTTAAAGTGTACTTTATGCAGAAAATAGTAATATTTAATACTTTAAGTTATTAAAAATTTTTTCAAAATATAGACAGGCGACAGAAAAGAAACAGGGTATAAATGCAGACTAAATTGTGCATCGGTAACACCCCCCTGAATCTTAGTGACTCAATGCCATAAAAGTTTATTTTTCACTCATATTGCGTGTCTAATGCAGCTTGGCAGGTGGGGCTCTGCTCGCTGAAATGTCTCAGGGACTGTGGTAGACAGAACAAGGGCCCCCAAAGATGTCCATGCCCTAAAACCTAGACTGTGTAAATATATTACCTTACATAGAAAAAGGTGCTTTGCTGATGTGATTAAGTTAAGGATTTTGAGATGGGGAGATGATCTTGGATTATCCAGGCGGGTCTAATGTAATCACAAGGGTCCTTTTAAGAGGGAGGCAGGCAGTAGTAGGAGATGTGACCGGGGAAGGAGGAGCTTGGAGTGATGTGAGGGAGGGTCACAAGCCAAAGAGTGCAGGCAGTCTTAGACATTTTTTAAAAGGCAAGGAAATCGATTCGCCCCTGAAGCCTCCAGAAGGAACCAGCCCTGTCGACACCCTAACTTTAGCCCAGTGAGACTGATTTTGGACACTGACCTCCTTAATTATAAGATGATAAATTTGTTTTAAGACACTTAATATGTGGTAATTTGTTATAGAAGCAACAGGAACCTAATACCCAGACCAATATTCAATTTTGACAAATGCTTTCACGGTCCCTAAAGCAGAAAACAGAAAAGTGGTAAATTATGTGCCTGCTCGTAAAGCTTCAACTAGAAGCAACGCTTATTGCTTCTGCTTACATTTCATTGGCTAATGCAAGTCACATGGTCACACCATCTCCAAGGAGGTGGGGTGTGCACAAACAGGAAGAGCAGAACTGGAGAGAATAGGACTTAGGACAGTGAAAGTGTGACTCATCCCAGGAAAACTGATGCACACAATCAGGATTAAAAAAAAAACCAACAGTTCAAAATTTCTCAGTAATAGATTTGGAGTAGGCACTGGTGAGTGAGGCAGTGGCTACCAAGACTTCACCTGAATCCCAACAATGGGAACATTCAACTTCTCCTGGGTTCCACGTAGCTACAAGAGACGGCCCAGGGATTTCCCTGGTGGTACAGTGGTTAAGAATCCGCCTGCCAGTGCAGGGGACATGGGTTCAATCCCTGGTCCAGGAAGATCCCACATGCTGCTGAGCAACTAAGCCCGTGCACCACAATTACTGAGCCTGTGCTCTAGAGCCTGTGAGCCACAACTACTGAGCCCACATGCCACAACTGCGGAAGACTGGGTGCCCTAGAGCCTGTGCTCTGCAACAAGAGAAGCGACTGCAATGAGAAGCCTGTGCACCGCAGAGAAGAGTAGCTCCCACTCACCACAACTAGAGAAAGCCTGCGCACAGCAATGAAGACAAACATATAAATAAATAAATAAATAAATAAAGGAAGGAAGGAAGGAAGGAAGCAATGTTATTAAAAAAAAAGAGAGAGGGAGACAGCCCAGCGTTGACAAGAGAAGATGGGTCTCTGAGGATTGGTGTCAGTGGACTCGAACTGCTTCAGACCAGTTGGAGTTCCCAGGTCCCTCGGTAGCTGGTTTATGGCTGGGTTTGGCCAGTGGGAAGCACTGGTAGGAAATTGGTTGGTGGGAGGAACCAGGGTGTTTCTCCCTCTGCTTTTCTCCTTGGGTGAACACAGGGACTGTATCTCTCCTTATCTGCCTCTGCTGGATCAGCCTGTTTTCAAGTTCGAACTTCTGCAATGACCCTAAGCCATGAGTTTTGGTAACTCTACCTCCTCCTGTTGTCCCTCC